TGGTAAAAGAAAATGAAAAAAAGTAAGACTCTATAAATGAACATGACACCATAATACACAAAAGTATGAGAATATATCATAATGAAAAAGACAGAAAGGTCAAATCCCAAAATACAGTGATTTAGGATCAGTGTTGTGGGTGCGAGCATGCCCAGTCGTGCCCAGCTATTTGCAACACTATGGACAGTGAATGCAGCCTGCCAGGCTCCCACGTCCATGGGATTCTTCACGGGATACTGAAGTGGGGATGCCATTTCCTCCTCCAGAGGATGTTCCCAACCCAAGATCAAGCCCACGACTCCTGCAGGGGCAGGAAGATTCTTTACCACTTGAGCCACCTAGGAAGCCCATGATCACTGTCACCATTCATTTATTAATTAAACAACTATATAAATATTTAGTTGAAGAGTAATTATGCTGGAAGTTGGAAATACAGAAGACAAAAACACAGTGCTGCTTTAAGAAACTTAAAAGTCTAACAGGAGAGAAATAAAAATCCTAGGCAACTTAAAGAATGAAATTACTATAAGGTGGGTCAGTGATTGCTCTGGATGTACACCTTAAGTTGAGAGCTGTGGGGAAGAGATGAGTCAACGAAAGCTTTCCAGAAGACACTGCAGTTTAGCTGGGAGCTGAATCATTTATTCATCACATAAACATTCACTGAGCAGCGATCACGTGACAAGACAGCGGGTACTAGGTACACTTCACAGTTTACCTAGCAAGCTCAGAACACAAAGCAGTTTACCGGCACACTAGGCACACGCACTCCAGGCTCACAGGAGACCAGAGTACAGAGGGAGACCGGCAATAAAAGTGCAGCAGATTAGCACCTGTGTACTGAGAGCCCATAGCATGCTGAGTGCTAAGATGATGTGAAAAGGTCAACTCTAGATATGACGATCTGAGAAGAGGGTGATGAAGATGAGTCCAGAGTGATAAGAAGAAACCTACAATTAAAGAGTCACTAAAGTTGAAGGAGGGAAATTGTAAGGAAAGGAAAAAACCACAGGCAAGACACAGAATTATGATGGCCCATTTGGGTATCTTTAAATAGTTCACATAGCTAGGAGATTTCCCGGGTAGCTCGGGCTGTAAATAGTTCACATGGCCTAAGAGCAGATGTAAGAACAAAGTGATAGGAAATGAGGTCCAAGAGGCCTGAGAGTGAACGATGTCTGTGTGCCACGGTGTACAGCTACTTTGCTGCTGCCCCCGCCCCGCCCTTGGCTTGGTTTTCTTTTTAAATATCTACTTTACTCAAAATACTCATCACCATACAAAGGAAAAGTTCATGAGATAAAAAAAATCAAGAGCAACAACATTAATATCATATATTTAGAGGGAATAAACGCAAAAGGGAGAAGAAAACGAGAATCAGAGAAAAGAAATTATAGGAGAGTGATGAAAAAGAGAAATGTTCTACTATGAAGAATCAGGAAAAATTTCAAATATAAAACAGACAGTAAAGAATCATATGAGTGATTATGACTGGTTCTTATGAATATTATAATTTTAAAATCAATAATTCAGATATAGGAAGAAACAAACCTTTTACTGATACCTCCATACATAAGAAATATTTTCCAAAATACCAACAATCTACATATTCTAATGAAAACTGTATTAAAGAAAAATCAGGCTAATGCTAGATTTTAAATTAACTTTTACTGCTAATTAATTAATCAGATAGGATGTCAGGCCAGGCTACCTGGTACTGCTAGTTTTTCTATATACTCTATGCATTTCTGATAAATGGGAAAAGAATAGATGACCTGGCAGAAGGCTCAGACAATAATTTGTGATTTACAGGACATGAATGCAGCTACCCTAAGATTTATCTGACAGCCCTCTCCGATAGTGGACTGTTGAGTATCCGATGGAATGATTTCTAGTCTAGAAAGTCTACTACTGAGTAGCCATACACATTATTTATTTATTAGATGTTTTGGGTTGAAACCATTTTTAAATGATGCACTTCACAATGCAGAGTCATAAATTCAGCTTTAAACCCAAGAAGGGAGGTAGTGTTATTGGAATGTGTGTCAGACTGAATTAGGACGAGCAACACAACGCTTTTATAAAGTGGCCTTGAATGCAATGTCAATTCTTTCAAAAATGATATTAATGTCAAATGAGCAGGATACAAACACTTTACACAATGCTGGAGTAATATTATTTGAAACATTTATTTAATATTTTCCTTAAATTCATAGAGATTTTTATATGGTTTATATACATAAACAATAAATATTAGGCAAAAATAAGTTACATGCTTTTGAAAAACTGAATCTGAAATACAATTAAGAACTTGTTCGATTTTTTTCTGTGCGTCAGAGAGTATACAGCTTCCTAAAAAGTGTATACACACTTATTTGAAAGAAGATTTAAATTAAGCTTTGGAACTTAAATAGTTCCTGAATGATTTTATATGAGATTCAACACAGGAATAAACCTAATTTAATAAAACAATGGAAAAATAATACGCTGAATAATTGAAGAAAGATTTCCAAATCTAAATAATAACATTTTGCCTTAAAATGCTAAAATTTAAATGGGATAAAATATGAAATGGAGCCTAATCAACCTCTTAATGAATGAGTGGATACTAAAAAACATATCCTAGTTGAAGCTTTAACAAAATATACAATGATCTGTTTGGTCTGAAAGACAGCAAACCAAATGTGGTCATTTCCTCACTTCTTAAATTTAGGCTCTAAATTCTCTTTTGTAGTAAAATATGGCAGATTTAAACACCCTGTTAAGAAGACTACAGAAAGAAAATAAGTTTTGAATGGTTTCAAGAAAAATAATCAGAAGATGGCTGATTGTCATGAAATTAACATCAACTAATTTGTAAAGTTTTAAATCAAATTTGCAGATGCTAAGTTCATAAGCATATCCCATTATTTATGTGATTAAAAAGGAGTTTTTGACCTGATCTTTCGATCTTTGGCACTCAATCCTCTCCATCTCTTCCTTAAAAAATTGATTAAAATTTTAGCAAGAGGCTAGCTTTTCACTTCCCACCCTATCTCAGGCTAAAAAAAATTATCAATCAAACTCAAACCATCCCCACCCAGTATCTGCAAAATGTCGACTTCAAATTCAATTTCATATCTCTAAAGCTTTCATGTAGAAAAAGACAGTTCACTTCTTAACAAAATAAATCACTTTTGCAATTGCCAATCTGACCTCTTTGAATTAGGAAAATTCAAAGTGAAAAATGTAATTATCACCCCAGAACAATCTGTATACATCTGGAGCTAATTCTGGCTTCATTTTTCACATCATTTTTCACACTGTGCTACATCTTATAGAGATGCAATGGAAGTTTTGAAGAAGTTGTAAAAAATGTTAAGAACTTCAAATAAACCAATAATGTGTTTTATTCAAACAAAACTTTGAGACTGACTTTTGCAACTTACTCTAAGTAATCTGCATATCCCATTACATCAGAATAGTATTAAACAGCACCAGGACATAGATGACAAATAGGTGTATTAGAACATGTCATTCTTTATCTTTTCCACTTCTAACATTCAACTGTAATATACTATATTTGAAATAATTTCATGTATGAAGAATATATTCACATTTTCTATACTAGAAAGTGAAACTTCACTATCAAACTCTACCCATGAAACAATAATATCACACTACAAACAACAAGTTCATACTCCTGGGAAGATACATATAAAACTTGAAGCAAATGCTTCTTAAAGTAAGTGTAATTTCATGTCAGTGTAATAATGGCATATGGTAATTTCCATTTAAGAAATAAACAACCAATTATTTCAAATCAGATTATTCAATGGGAAATTTTATCCAGTCAGCTTTTAAAGAAATGGAGTTTTTAAAGGAGATAATTAAATTAAAAACATGATTCTCACTAAATCTAAGAATAATAAGCCTACTACAAACATAACTACTCTTTACAAGTTCATTATAAAAATCCATTAGATGCAATCTCTAGAAGTAATTGTTCTTATTGCATTTTATTGACAATGCATAGTATTGATTTTTCACACCTTCTATGATTCTTTAATTTGTATTCATGAAATGTCCATCAGCACAGTCTAAATAAATTTGGCAATATAAGCACTAAAATGAATAAATCGATGCAAAGAAACATTAATTTTGCATTATCCTTATTCGTCAGGCAAGTAAAACAGAGGAGTTGTAAATGAAGGTCAAAGGTTTTGAAATGGGTCAGAACCCTTGACCTCTAGACCAATACTCTTCCTATTAATAAAGGCTATTTTAAAGTTTTAAGTAGGGGAATTTACTACCAGCAAGATATCATTTTTAAAAGACTACAAAGAAAACTCTCAATAAAAAACATTCATCTGTTTAACTGCTAAATAGAGGGGGGAAAAAAAATCACAGGATGCATGATTTTTATGTAGGTTTTTTTCTTTTTTTTTAATCATTAGAGTTTACCACATGAGGTGTAAGGTTTCTGAACACTGAAGGCAACCTTGGTTTTAGGAATTTATTCACTACATCTTATTATGGTGGCTGCCATATTTTTGTTGATGTTTTCCCAAATCTACTGTGTATGTCAAAAATAATTAGTAATGACAAGAATTCAAAATTATTTATCACTCATTTTATAACCTCTGCACAAAAGGGAAGTAAACCCATTATTCCCAGGGGAGTCAGAGTGGCACTCTACAAGGTATAGAAATAAATCTGCTTCTATAACCTTAATACACAAAGCAGAGAAATTTAGCCATCTCAAAATCATTTGATCTGAGCATTTTTAAATGTGGCTTGAAAAACCTGTTTCTCACTCACCTATACAATTCCTCACAGCACGTATTGCAAAATTATCTCCTAGTGACAAACACAAGAAGTAATCCTTTTGTAATACCAAGAAATTATTGCAAACTCAAAACTCTATTATAGAAAAAACCTCTAATCAACAATTTTAACTTTCTTGCAAAATGAATTCATTTGAGAATTTACTTAATTCAGCATTTATTCTTGTCACTCACCTGAGAACATAGTAGCATAACCAACTCCACAACTGAACTACTAGACTTCATGCAAACCAGACCTATATTAAAGAGAATTTGTTTTTAATTTTATAGAAACAAACGAGGGATTATTTCTTACACAACTTTGCCCAAATTGGTTTTTAAAATTTAACATATTGCTAAGAACCAAACCTATACATATTTAATGAGTAAACAAAACATTCTGTGATTACTTTAAATTTGGCATAAAAAACACCACAGTCTTTTGTAGGCGATTTCATTTCAGCTTTCAAATTACTAAAACATTAATTACCACTTCATATACAATGACACTGCACAATACTCATGGAAATGTGCACAACATATGCCATATTGACTAATATCATCTAAATTTTGTTTTGGAGAGAGCTGATTGTTATACATGCAGAGAAGGGAAATGGCTCCCTGACCTTTGCTTTCTCCACCACACTCTCTCCCTTCAACCCTCCAGCTATCAATCAAGTTTCCATTTTGTTTCCTGGCAGCAGACATACCAAACACTCTTATTAGTACCCTGACCTGTGACCTCACTCTAAACCTTAACAGAAATGCAGGCCATTGTCTGTTATACACTCTTGATTTTTTTTTAATAAATAAATTCACTTACATTTTCTCATTTATGTTTCAAGTTCACCAAAACTATCTCAGGAAGGAACTTTATATACTTAATATGTATCTAAAGAATTCTTTAGTTCTGATTCATAATAAGATTAGTTCAAAGAACATTTTACAACCAATATCTTATAAAAGCAATATCAATAAATAAAAGCACTAAATGACTATCATGCTAGTAATAATTAGAAAAATTATAATTTTTATTCTATATTTTTCTAAGCAAACATATGTTTAAGTTCAAATTAATTTAAATATAACAACTTAAATAATTCCCATGGGCCTTATGCACAGCACACAATTACCTTATTTCTTTCTAACCAAGTTCTTATGGGCATCCTACCCCATCCTACTCCCCTTGTTTAATCTTTTTGCTCTTTAGTGCTTTCTCCTTCCTTCTTTTACTCATAATGCCTCACATCTGCTAATGGCACATGTTGGCATTCTGTAGCCTTACAAACAGCATTCAAGCTCAACAGGTTGTTCACTCCCTTCACTTTTTAGAAAAGGTAGAAGCATTTTTCTCCACATCTGAAAAAATGTGTAAATGTGTAACACAGAAATGATGGTAACAGTGCCAGCACTGGCATGAAAAATTAGCTACAGAACATCTACATGTTGCATTAAGCAAGCAAGACATTTAAGTAGACTAAACTGTAGTTTCTATAGAGCTGAGATGAGCATACGCCCTCAGGCTAATGCCAAGGCCAAAACGAAGGGCACAGCAATACTCTTATTACTGGTGTAGTCTTTATTGGTCTGAAAACCTGTCACTTTTCAGAAAACATGAAAGGAAGTTTCATATATTTCAACTTCAAAAGCCACTACTTTCAGCAAGTAAATTTAGGTCTTTCTACAATTAGGTCATTATTCCTTATTGCTCTGTCCTAGAGGAACCAGATTTCCTACCAACTTTCCTTTCATTGCAAAGCATTTGGGCCCTGATCTAGCTCAGCCTTTGATATCCACTAAAATAGTGACCATAATGATTAAAAGGAACTTGGGCCATCCAAAGTTAGAAAGATTTATACGTTGTTTTGTCTCTCTACAGGGTATGTTAGGATATATACTTTCAAAAAATTGCTTGTTTCAGTTTTATTTCTCAATAAGATTAGAAAACCAAAGTAAGGGTAATACAACCACATTATCAGTGGAGTTGAGTATTCAAAGATAGTTAAGATGTCAAACAATATTTCATAGTTTGATTAGAACAATTCATGTGTTTTTTGGAGTGAGGTTTTCTAGATTTCTAAAGGATGGGTAGCGGGCCAGAGTGGATGGTGTGTTAAATTTTAAATGAGAAATAGCTTCAGAAGACAAAAGAGAGTTTACATTTGACCTTCAATACCTTAAATGCCTAAAGAGGATCAATACCTCAAACACAAATATAAAACCATGGGAGTAAGTAAATAGGAAATAATCTCAATAAGGGACTTGGTATCAGATTGCAAAATTTAATCATATCTCTTTTTGACCTGAATTTTTACCTTTCCATGACACTGGCTGCACAGATGAAAAAGCAGGAAATGACTTATAAACCAGTAAATCTGTCTTCAGATCTACATTCAGACTTCAAGAATTATCCAAAGGAAGGCCTTCAAACAGCCCTTAGGAGAAGTTGTAAGTTGCTGCAGAAGTATCAATTTTCACTTTATGCACACAAATTCTACTATCGCCCCAATCAGCAAAAGGTGAACCAGGTGCTGTAGGTTCAGAGATCTGACCAGACTCATAATCTGACCCTAGGGTTTTATTTTTTATTTTTCACTGATATGGAATTGTAGTCCCTTCAAAAGAAGACAAATTGAATTACCAAAGCCAAGAGTTTTATACTCTTTTGGTGTTTCATGACCAAAGACCACTGCACCTTCTCCACCTCTATTACCATTGTCTTTCCTTACTACTAAACTCAGAAATATTAAATGAATTGCCAGATATTAAGCTATCAGTACCTGAGCCCACTGAGATATCTGAACTCCCATGTATACCATGAAAAATAGGTATGACCATTTACCATCTGGAACATAAGAATCCAGTTTTATCCTTTATTTAAGTCACTTTAATCTACACAAATATAAAGGAATGGCATAAACACTACTAGAAGTTTTAATAATAATTTAAGCATAAAATCAGTTTTTCTCCGTCTTCCAGGTTTTGAAAGTACTTGCCTATAATTTGGATGCAATTAACTGTTCCCCATGAATCTGTAAACATTATATTCATCTTATAAATATTAATTATAAATTTCAAATAAACTTATCATAGGTGCAACTTGATTATTAATTCTGGTCCCTTTTTCCCCTGCATTTAAGTTATATGTTTTATCTTTTGTTTCCTCTTGCCCTCCTTTTTGAACTAACATCATCAAATGCAATATTCTAGGAAGGTTGAATTTTGCAAGGTCACTTTCTCTCCTCTCGAATTCCAAAACATTTTCATCTTTAGGTTACGAACACCATTTAGAATGATCAATCAACTGAATTTTTTCACCTCTACGTGAACGTTTCCTTCCAATCGCCCTTAAGTACAAACCTGCTTCAGTAGCTATTCACTTAGAAGTTGCACTAGGCAAGCTGCTGTGCACAGTCATCACCAGCAGGGGATGGACACTGTCACAGGCCTTTTTAGTAAAATGAGATATTCCAGGTTTCTGTCACAAAACATTGTATGAATTTTGTAGAATTAAATTGTTCCCATTGAATGAAATGATGCTGAGAAAATCAATTTCTATTTTGCATAGAAATATACTATGCATTAATGAAGTCTTGAGTTTGATAAAAATTATGAATACTGCTCCCTGTCTCTTCAAATTCAGCCACAGATGGTCCAGTACTTATAAAATGTCTTCTCCTATCAATTTTTTTTTCACCTCACCATTATGGGCAGGAAATAGAAAATTCTGACTTAACTATATTCAGTGAAAGCTAAAAGTAAGACACAAAGCTGGTATCCACAGACTTCTTTTATACCAATATTTCTCAATAATTTTTGAAGAGCCTAAAGAGCATTTCATATCATTTTTTAATTGTGACCCTACAAAATTTTAATCCTAAAAGTAAACTATACAGATGTACTGTGAAAGTGAAAGTCACTCAGTCATGTCCAGCTCTTTGCAACCCCATGGACAACAGTCCATGAAATTCTCCAGGCCAGAATACTGGAGTAGGTAGCCTTTCCCTACCCCAGGGGATCTTCCCAACCAGGGATCGAAGCCAGGTCTCCCGCAATGCAGGTGGCCTCTTTATCAGCTGAGCCACAGGGGAAGCCCCAGATGTACTGTGGTCTATTGGAAAGTCAAAAACGACTGTAATACCTAAGATGTTTTTGCCCTCCCCAAATACCAGCTTTTAATCCAATTGAGAAAACAAGTTTATATCTTCTTAAAACATAATGCAATACTTTGGCAACATAGTAAGAAAACAGAGAGTGATCTAAGATTGATGATTTGGTTTCCTAGTTCACCCTGATGCTGGGAACAGTTCTAATATTCCTGTTTTTTTACTGTTTTAGTCCTTAGCAGAATTAGAAATAACTGATGAATAATGATAATTAGCAAAATGTTTTAACATACAGGAAAATTAAGATCACAAAAGGCTCATAATGAACCTTAGATTTATTTTAAAAAGCCAAATGAAATCATTTAAGGTAATTGTCAGAACAAACTTTATTTACAAGTAATCATCTTTTTGTTTTCAGAAGACTTCTTTAAAAACAATAAAAGTAATAAAACATCAATTCTTACAAAGGGTTATAACTACTTGAAAAGGGGCATTAATACTACTAAAATTGAGCCAATCAGAAATATGCGACACTAGGCATCATATAACATGAATTATCACATCTAATTAAACTTCAAGCCATCGGAAAACACACAGACTAGAGAGACTGTTAAATGACATCACCAAGAAGAAGAGCCACAGAGTCCCAAAATACAGAAGCACTCCACAGAACCACCAGCCCTACTTCTGCAGCAAGTCAATAACACGAAATCCAAGGAATACTGGGAAACTATTTGACACTAGCATGGATTTAAGAGACATATCAAATGAAAAAAAATGATTTTTTTGGATCTTAACTGGAAGAAAATCAATTATATAAAAATACCTTTTAAATAAAGATGAATAAGGGCTGAGTATTAAAGGACACTATGGAATTATTATTAATATTACTGGGTATAAGAGAAACAATTATGTGAGAAAGTATCTTTTTTACATGAAATTAATTATTTAGAGGTGAAATTACATGATGTCTGTGGTTGTTTTAAAGACTAAAGGAAAACAAAAGTGAGGTGGATGTAACAGTTATGGCAAAACAAAGATGGTACAGGTAGTCAGCAATAGGAATTATATAAATATTACAACTCGTATTTTGTAAGTATTTTAAATGTTCATTAAAATTATTAATAAAAATAATTTAAAATTTTTAAAGTAATAAGGTTTCAAGTACCTGGTCACACAGCTAGTGACCAACAAGGACTGCAGGCACCTGCCTTTTTTTAATGGCCACACCATGGAGCATGTGGGATCTATCTTCTCCAACCTGGGATCAAACTCTGCAGTGGAAGCAGGGAGTCTTAACTGCTGGACCACCAGATATATCCCTTCTCCTGACATTTTTAGTTCAAAATTTTTCAATAGAACTATGCTGCAATAACCTATCCCTCAAAACTTCTGTTTTACAATGCATAAAATTACCACCCAAAGGATTTCTCACAACTTAAAATATATTTGCTATATAAAACTCTTAGATCTATTTGTTATTTTTATGAACACAATCCAGTGAGTAGGCAATGATCTAGTTATTTTTTATAGATGATCAAAAGTATATCATCCTCCTTTTTATCACATTATCAGAATTTATCAATAACAAATTGATTCTAAATTAAATTTTGTTCAAGGATTTAGAATTATCAAGTTTAGTACTTCTGAGTATCTAAGAAGATCCTATTGTGCTAGGTCTATTATAAACTTCAAAGATCAACTAAACAGCAAAAATGTATTGCTATACTGAAAGGCTATAATTAATACAATCATTTTAGCATTATAAAATGAAATATAATTAACAAGTAGTCATACCACTTTAATAGAATAAATGTTTGATACATGAAGCATAAATTAGGGTGAATTCTTTCAATGTTACAAATTCATTTCCTTTCAGATTTTATTGCTTCATTATGTCAAACAGTCCTTGGCTAAATAATTATATCCTTCAGCAGATACAGTAAATTTCTACCCCAAATTTGGTTCAATGTTTCTAAAACCTGAACTTTTTTCCCACATAAATTCAATGCTACTCCTTGACTATATGGAAATGATATCAATCATCACCAACCCAATACATATTTACAACAGGGATGAAGATGAAATTATTTCATTAGCTAATAACTATTTCTCATATATATAGATATTGTAAGAGCCAAATAAAGTGCTGATATCTCATAGTTAACACTCAAATAAGGATATCTTGAATTATTAACCTATCTATAACTTTCATTAACAAAGGGGTTTTTTCACAAGTTTTAAGAAATTCCATAGATAACCTAGTGACTGACTGCCCAACAAAAAGTCATGATAACTAAAGCTGTAAGCTGATATTTAAAGATACTAGAGTACAGATAATTGTGCTTTCCCATGATTTTTCAGCTTTACAAGAATACATGTCTTATCCATGAAACATCAAACCCGGATACAGACAAGCCAGATTTAGTGAACAAATACTCCAAACAGCTTTGAATGAAAAGATCACTTTGACATTATCATTGATGAAAGTCCTCTAGCTTCTCCTTTAAAAAATGTTAGTTATGGGAATGAAGATTGGTGTTTTGAAGCCAGTCTGTTAAGCTCAAATAATAAATCTAATTGTTTGAAAAGCTGATCTCTATTGAACTGATTTCTATTGTCTGAGAAATTCAGGGTAAGTCAACTTTCACTTGGTGAGTTAGCTTCTTGAATATTAGAAAACACTTAATCTCACAAGTGCTTCACGCTTTAAAAAAAAGAGAAAAGAAAAGCCCCAATACCTCTCCAACCATTCCATAAATGGATGGTTTCCAATCTGCACAGCAATTTACTTCTGCACACTATCTAATTTGACAGAATCTCAAAGTACCCTACCTAGAAAAGATCAAGTAATCTAGGTATGATACAAGCAAGAGAGAGAAAATACTATTGCTTTTTCTCTTTATTCGTGAAACAGAACTCCACTAGTAAAGACTAATAATGCATTCCTCAATTTCATAACATGTGGCAATACACTGTTGTTTATATAGATCTTAAATTCAAGTAAAATCTCAGGCAAATACACCACTTATTGCTATTAACACTAGTCTCTCGAATTCTCAATTTTCATGGTTAATTTTAATGTGTTAAACATGTATTACTTGCATTCAATATATCTTCTTTCCTTTATTGTTCCCCAAAACACACAGTAAGAAACCTGCTGCATTCCAATCAGTGATTAAAAAAACCTTGAAAATTTAGAATATCAGCATGCTATATTCTTTAAAAGATATATACAGACTCCATGAGAAGCCTTGTCAAAGGCTGAAAACAATAAAACCTCATGCCTCTTTTATTATTCATTTCAGTTTTAAACCCTGAAATTTAAATACATACGTGAAGAAAGAAAAATGACTTACTTGTTCCTTCTATAAGCAGTTCTTGTCCATGGCTACCCAAAAGTGTCCGAGAAAGAAAAGGTGCAAAATCTACAAATATCTCTCGCAGAAGAGGAGCTGCCTTTTCCAAAGCATGTTCGAGTCTCTCTGTAATGCTAAAGGAAAGATATTATTAATTATTGTTGATCAATTTTTTAATTTTTTAAAATGAGTTTCTGTAAAAATGTAAAATTATGTGAAAAGCTGAAAATCATCTAATGACTCATTATTGCTACGTATATCATTCCTTCTGCCTGGAATATCCATTTCTATCCTATTGTATATTGCCACCCCTAGTCCTCACAAACAACCTGGCTAACAACCATTCCAAACATCAGCTCTTACTACAAGTCTTTACAGGCTAGTAGAGAGCACTTGATTTTAGCCCCCCGACAACCAAAAATACTTTTTTATCAAAGTTTAACAATCTTCAATCAGATTTCCTACTGACCATGACCACGCACATATATATATATGCAATCCTGTGTGTGTGCATATATGTGTGTGTGTATATATATATATATATATGTATACATGTGTTTATACATAAATAGTTGCCAATGTGAGGCAAATTCAAGTTTTGCTTTTTGGAACTTTATGGAAAACTTTTTATCAAATCTTTTATCAAAGTTTATCAATCTTTTATCTAATTTTCTATTGACCATAACTATGCATATATAGAGAGAGATACATACATACATATACGCACACATACACATATATACATAGTTGCCATGTGAGGCAAAATCAAGTTTGGCTTTTTGGAAATTCCTAGAAATTTTTTTTCAATATTTTCAATCTGTGGTTGGTTCAATCCATATCCAACTGTATACATATATACATATTTAATGAGTTAAATGACCAACCTAGACAGCATATTAAAAAGCTGAGACATTACTTGGTAACAAAGGTCTGTCTAGTCAAGGCTATGGTTTTTCCAGTAGTCATGTATGGATGTGAGAGTTGGAATATAAAGAAAGCTGAGCGCTGAAGAATTGATGGTTTTGAACTGTGGTGTTGGAGAAGACTCTTGAGAGTCCCTTGGACTGCAGGGAGATCCAACCAGTCCATCCTGAAGGAGATCAGTCCTGGGTGTTCATTGGAAGGACTGATGCTGAAGCTGCAACTCCAATACTTTGGCCACCTCATGCAAAGAGCTGACTCACTGAAAAGACCCTGATGAGGGCAGGAGGAGAAGGGGACGACAGAGGATGAGATGGTTGGATGGCACCACCGACTCAATGGACATGAGTCTGGGTGAACTCCGGGAGTTGGTGATGGACAAGGAGGCCTGGCGTGCTGCGGTTCATGGGGTTGCAGATAGTCGGACACGACTGAGCGACTGAACTGAACTGAATGAGTTTTAAAAAAAAAAGTCCCCTGTGCACATCAGGAATTTCATTTTCTAACTTATGAACCAAACATGTATACAAATAGTCACTACTTATTTATTGTTCCTACAAAGAGTACTTCCTATTTATACTAGCAACAAGAGATGCTACTGAAATTATCAACAGGTAAGCTGCTGGAAATTTCTGTGGTCAACAACCATCTCTTCCCAGGTGCTCCACATAACACTGTTTCTCTCTATTGATCTCATGGAGCCTCTTATCCCCAGATGACATCACAACTATGAGCCTACAGTTGTAGCACCCAAGTAACTTTACTTGTAAAATGCTATGCATTTTCCGACTGTGGTAAGGCATATATCAAGAACTCTAGCCACAAAGGCTCTAGTGGTGAAATATATTCACAGCCTTCCAAATTAGAACTTGAAACACATATTCCTAACTAGACAAGATAACAGACAGTAAAAATCTATCTATAATTCAATATCAACATAAACTTATTTCAGCATTTCTAGGGAAGAACAATGAATTCCAAATGTTCAATCTACTATTACATGAAATGTAAGCCATAAGTTACTAGCTACCTGTGAAATTAAATATGTTATCCATTCAGCATTTATTGATCACAAATAGCTACTTCTCAGGAAACTTTTACACCTCATCTTCTTTCAGAAATAACTTCTAAAATATTCCCAAGCCTCTAAATGTCATTTTAAAAAAAAAAAGTAAATTAAAAAAAAATATAGCTAGATATTTTAAGAGTTATCAAAAGGAATAAATTACAAATACCCAAATTAATAGCTTGAATACCTCATATTTGAAACTTGGTCTTGTGAAACTGAACCAACTGTTGGAACTGCAGGTAATTTTGCATTAGATGATCTACCACCTATAAGAGAAAATAACCATTTATGGGATGAACAAGAGTTCAAACAAAAAAGGTATCTTGATACCAAATCACCAAAAAAATACTATACTGCATTTTGCCAGGTACCACAGTTAGTAAAGAACCTGCCTGCCAATGCAGGAGACGCAAGAGATGCAGGTTCAATCCCTGCATCAGGAAGATCCCCTGGAGAAGGAAATGGCAACCCACTCTAGTATTCTTGCCTGGAAAATCACATGGACAAACAAGTCTGGAGGGCTACAGTCTATGGGGTCACAAAAAACCCAACATGACTGAGCACGCACACACCCACTACATTTTTAATGGCTATTATAATTTGATGGGACTTCCCTTGTGGCTCATTGGTAAAGAATCTGCCTGCAATGCGGGAGATGTGGGTTTGATCCCTGGGTAGGGAAGATCCCTTGGAGAAGGAAACAGCAAACCTCTCCGGTATTCTTGCCTGGGAAATTTTATGGACAGAGGAGCCTGGCAGGCTACAGTCCATGGGGTTATAAGAGAACTGGACATGACTCAGAGACTAAACAACAGCATAATTTGGATAACATTAAAATCTATAAATTAGCAAGCTTTTTCTTGAATCATTTAATATATAATTATCACATAAAGGAGTCTTTGCAACCATCAGCTGAAGAAGTAATAGAAAATTCTAAATCACTCAATTGGGATCATATTCATTCAGTTCAACACCAAATAGCAAAGGACATACACAAGTAGAAACTTCTTAAAATGGAAGCAAAAAGGAGAAACCACTAATTCCAAATTTAGCTTAAATAGGTATGCCTCATTACCATGAAAACTGTCTCTATGCAGTCACTAAATAACTTCTGCTCTACACTTTAAATGCTTCTGAGTCTAGTTCAGCAAACATGCAATGACCAACTGAGAAATCTTCTTAAGTGATGCAAGCAGAACATACACTCCCTCATGGGTGTCCTCACTGTAATTAGGACACAGCCTGATATTGTGTTTGTCATACTGTATTTCAATTGATTTTTTAAATGTCCTTTTCCCTCGTATACTAATCTTTTTGAAAGCAGAGATCTCATCTTTTTCATCCATCTCTCTGAAACACTTAGATTAAGTAACACCATAAAAGGTTCTCAATTTATAATTGTAGAAGTCGTTCCCTTAATCAAACCATCTCCCAAATTTAGCAGGTCATTCTTCCCACCTGGTATATAATTCCCTCTCTATTTCCTATAATTTTATGTCCCTATCTTTGTTCAAACTACTATATAAAATTAATTTCCATCATGTGATCTAATTTTACTCTCCAATGAACACTCCCAGATATCCTTATTTTTGCTTATCTGTATTATTCAATGGCCAACTCACTCTCCTAAAGTACAAACTGTTCACACTATCCTGCCCTATACAAGAGCTAACTCTTTATGTTCTCCAAAAATAACTGTGCTTATAAATTTTACTTGGCAAGAGAAAAATAAATACCAGGAAATTAACTCTGACAGAGTCAAAGAATGGACAACACACAGTATAGGAAGTTTTGAAAAAGTCCAGAAGACTAATTTGGATGATAATTTACTGAGGCTTTGGAGAGTTCCAAAAAGTTCATAAAAATAGGGGAAAAATAAAATTTCCATTTAAGAATCAGAATATATGAGATAGAAAAGCATTTAATTTAAGCTAGGAGGAAGACCTGAAGAAACAGAAGGGTCATTTTCTAAGACTGGTAATAGGGTAAAAGAAGAAAAGAGAGGACAAACACAGTGTTAAATGCCACTCTCCAACACAGGGATCGCAAGAGTCACTGGAACTCAACTGGAATGGTATCCTAACAACGTGGAGGGTATACATACAGGAGATGTACATATTTTGCTTGCAATGGCAGTCCAGGAAGTAAAATTTCCATTTCTAAAAACAATGTCTTAAAAGGAGGCCAAGTTAGTATCAGAGCAGACTGAAATCCCATCACAAGTCTACAGAGGGACGACCAAGAAAGGCAGCAGACATATTGAAGCAAATGAAACAAAGATGCAAAGCTTACACACAAGGAGGGAAGAGAGGCTTGAAGAACTTTGGAATCTATCAGGATGCACTATCAGAGATCTGCTGCAGACAAACTGGTGTGGACAGAAAGACAGATAAGAGAGAAACAGAAGAAATTTCCATCTAGCATGTAGAAAAAAAGGTGGTAGAAACAGGTGAGAAGGGAGAAAAGCAACCTCTTTGACATTTGGGAGCTGGCCCTGTAATGCCAACTAGGCCCTGGTGTGGTCAAGGGCTGGCTTTAGAACCTACAACTAGGTCATGGTGTTCTTTCGCTGACTGTGAATAATTTCATAGAACAGCCACATCAAACAAGGCCATGTCATGACCATGATGAACCAACATAAAATACCACTCTGTAATCATGTCCCAGAAGACCAAAACATGAATTCCGGTCAAGTAACAAAGATGGTCAAACATCCCAAATTCTAATATGAAAGCCTGCTATTTCTTTACTAATTAGAGCTTTAGCCTCCATCAAGTCTTCCACGAATCTAGGTAAGATTTAACTAAGATATCTAAAATCACAGAATTACCCATGCTTCCTGACAGTACCTAATTCAGAAGAAAGGCCCATTTCCATAACCCTGCCTTCAAATTATCATTTTTTTTCCAACTATATTTACCCAATGCATGGATACATCTTGATTTTTATATTAAGAAATGTTCTTTACAAGCCCTCCTAGTCCCAGTCCTTTTCCAAAGGCAGCCACTGTTGGCAGTTTGGAAACATATCCTTCCGGACTGTTCTCTACACTTACATACAAACTCAAATCCTTTAATAAATCGTTTTCCCAGAGACATCCCAAGTTTTCTCATTGTGTACATTCTCCCTCACTGAATTAATTTATTCAAACAAAGGTTTATTACTAGGATCTTGATTGGAGGATACTGATAGAGACTTCAGATGACGTCATCAGAGAAAAGATAGGAATCATGGGCTTATTTTAAAAGAAACAGAATTTTAAAATTTTAAAATTTTAAAAGAAACAGAATTTTCAAAAAAAAAAAGAAACAGAATTTAAGAAATCTCTAAGTAAGAATTATTTTCCATAACAATCTATTTCATCATGGTAAGATGCACATTCTTCCACATGAAAACATCTCTTAAATCAATGAATTTTACAAAGGTATCTTAACAAGTAGTTAACCAGAAGTTAAGACCTAATTGTGAGAAAACTGGATAAAATCAGGAAAGCAACAGAATCAAATCTGTAATTTGGTAAATGACTAAAGGAGGAGGAATGCAGTAACTCTGAATTCATTGTTTTGACAATCTACAACCTCAAGATTATATAAACTAGAGGAAAAACAGTTGTAAAATATAAGCATATCATCAGAGGACACGTATGCCTTGGAGATATTTTGCGTTCAGGTCCATACCACAGCAATAAAGTAAATATCACAACAAAGCAAGTTTTTTGGTTTCCCAGTGCATAAAAATCCATTTGACACCATAGGGTTACAACATACTTTCAATCTGTTACAAAAATTTTTTTAATTTTTAAAAATATATTTAAACCACACTATATCTGAAAACCACAGTAAAGTGAAGCACAGTACTGCATTCTTTTACAAATTGTGTTTTTTACGAATTGAAGGTCTGTGGCAACTCTGTGTCAAGCAAGTGTATGGACACAATTTCTCCAATGATAATCGCTCACATCACATCTAAGCACCCACATTTTGGTGATTCTCATATTTCAAACTTTTTTTCTTTTCATTATTATATTTATTATGGTGATCTGTAATCAGTGATCTCTGATGTTATTATTGCAAAACTATTATGACTGAAGGCTTCAGTTATGGTTAGCACTTTTAATAATTAGTTTAAATTAAGGTATACACATGGTACTTTTAGACATAATGCTATAGGATAGTGTAAATAACTTTTATATGCACTGGGAGACAAAAAATTCATGTGACTCACTTTGTGATACTCACTTTATTGCAGTGGTCTCCAAGGTATGCCTGTATATAAGATACATACTCTCACTAACATACATGTCTACTTAGTATAGTCCCTAACCTGACCACTGAGAGGACCTGAGAGCACCTAACACTTGACTGTATGCATCTTGGCTTTTAAGTACTATACCCCACTATATAAACAAACCAGAAACAGTTAACTTAGTATCTCTGGAAGAAAAGCACAAAATGAACTTGAAACATCTACTATTGTTTTTTAGAAGGCAAGGAACTGTCCAAGGAATGAGAGGATCCGTCACAGAGGCAAAGGAGCCAGCATAAAGGGACTCGCACCTAGCAAGGTGAAGACAATCTGAGCGTAACAGTAACAACAGGAACTGATTAGAACACACCCAGGGAAACAGGAAGCCACGAAGCCATACTGATAAAACTGATACAATTAGCAATCTGCAAAATAGGATATTTAAAGGATTTCCAAGTATATCTCGACAAAACACTTATTAATTGCAACTCTACAATATAGAAACCTGGCAGTTATACTTTAATCAAGTGATGAAATTGGTCACTGTCAAGCATTTTAACAGATCAAAATTGTGCACCATATGATTAGATTCTTTCCTTCTCTGTCTCAGAATAGTCCTACCAGAGAAATATAATGATTTGAATCAAAAGGAAATATCAGATCAACCCAAGTTCAGGGAAACTCATTTGGTTGTTCCCAATGTTTTACAATAAACAATGTTTTGTATATGCTTATATAAATCTATATGCACTCCTTTATATCCTTGAAGTAACTTCCTAAAGTCAATAAGCCCAAAGTTTAATTGCTGATACACACTGGCTTCCCTGGTAGCTCAGCTGGGAAAGAATCCACCCATAATGCAGAAGACCTCCATTTGATCGCTGGGTTGGGAAGATCCCCTGGAGAAAGGAATGCACTACCCACTCCAGTATTCTAGGGCTTCCCTGGTGCCTCAGATGGTAAAGAATTTGCCTGCAACGCAGGAGACCTGGGTTCAATCCCTGGGTTGGGAAGATCCTTT